ATATATATACGATCACCCTGAGGACACACTGAATGTCCCTGCAGATTCAGGGACATCCAGTGTGTCAGTGTAATGCTCTGTGTTTTTCAAGCACTAAGACAAGTGTGATGACATTAAACAGGGTAAATTATAGAGTAAGCAAAGAGAAATTATATGTTGCTGATATCTGAATTTGAGTACAGTTTATACTTTGCTTTACAAAAAAAAAAAGTTTTTGCCACAAAGTATATTAGTCATCACAGCATAAACTATGTTTCTCATCATCTTTTACATCTTACTGGCAGGAACAGCCTCCCTCCTCTGACAGCTCACAGACTTTGAGAAGCCAGTCACAGACATGAACATGGGCAGTAACTCAGCTGCCTTTACGGAGAAAAAAAAGATGGTACCTGGCAGTTCTGTGCTGATTATTATCACTGTAAGAGACATCAACAGGAAGTGCTTCTACCCACTGCCCCACATTGTCGACACGAGTCAGGCACCAGTGCTTCAACTTCCTGGTGATCTGTCRTTGTGGGACAGCTAGACTCGAATGAGGTGGGGGTGTCTGTGGCACACATGCAAAATGACAGAAAACCAAACACAGTTGAATGAGTTGGTTTTTTGGTCAACAATAGGTTGTTTTTCTTTTCTTTTTTTTTTCTCAGATTATTTTACCAAGTAAAGAAGCTTAATGCTAATTTAGGCCGCTCATGTTTTTCATATGAAGTCAGCTGAGAGTGTAGACATGATGACTTTACTGTTTTGTACTAGAGAAACGATTTGCAAACAACTCAAGACAAGTTATAATTGACATGTACTGTAAATGACCCTATTTATTTTAACAGTTTGCTGATCTAATTGTTGGTTACAGTGTCACGTAAGTTTGGAAATTTTCTTAACAGCCTTCAGCAAGAAAAGTGTATTTAAGAAAAAGAAAAAGAAAGAACGAACAAAAAAGGTGGAAGCCACCAAATTGACGAAACACAAAGCAGGTAAACATGATACTTTGTTGTGGTTTTAGTGTGCACAAAGGAGGAATTTATAGTGTGGGTGTTGACAGATAGGCTGCCCAAAATGTAGGCCTACATGTTCAACTTCACCCACGCYGCTAGAGGCTACAATTCAGGTGGTTTCCCGCTCTAGTTTCACATAAAAGCCCGATTTATCAATGAACTTGCTTCTTTTTTTCCTCCCTCACAGGCAGGGCTTCATGTTTATGTTGATTTAAAAAAATGCACTTTCAACATAACGTCTTAAATAAGCCTGTTTTAAAGATTTCTATTCACTTAGACATGTATATATAATTTGGATGAAGTTCAATTTTAAAAAGCTAAATTTAATAAATTAGTATCAAGATAAAAGTTTTGAGAAGTCAGCATTCAGTAAAATTCATGTTATTTTTTTAAATAATAAATTTCACCAGCAGAGGGCAGCAATGCCACATACAAGGAGGAACAGCAACGGGCCAGGGTTATTCAAGTCTACATACAAATATAATCTCCTTGCATTCAAACGAAAAGTTAATTATTGATTTTTTTATTAATACAAAGAAGCAACAATTAGAAAAGAAATTTATAGCTGATGCTTTTTTTTTTTTATGTATTCGGGGGTCAGAACTGAGTCTACTCGTCCTGGTTTATTTTATCTGTCATCGACTTGTTGGGCTGGTTGTAGTTTTTAGCACTAGTTTCGGTTTTGCTGGACGTCGAAGAAACACCGGAAATAAAAAAAGAAGGTGTCTTTAGGTGCATTTTAGGTAATGTACGGTGCTTATTTGTCTATTTCTGTTCGATAATTAGATGTAATAAGTTGAAACCGTATTGTGTTTAGTAAAGAAGTTTAAATGTAAAAGTTGCCAAAACTTTGGGATGTAGGTGACGGCTCCTCGGGGATGTTCGGTGTTTTGAACTTTACGGATGATTAACTCGCCGGGTTAGCCGATTAGCTCGTGTCCTGCGCCGGCTTTTGAGTTMAATAAAGGGTGTATTTGAGCGTTGACGACCTGGTTATAAGTACATGTGGGGGCTCGAGTTGTTCAAACTCGTGTTTTCTTGTAATTTTGTCACAGAAATGGCCACCGCGCCTGAAACGTCGCTGCGGATGAGCCCGGCGGATCTCATCAAAAAGGAGCCGCTGGCATACGGAGGGTTCGGACAGGTTTATTTGTGCTACCATGTTACCCTCGGCCAGGTGGTGCTGAAGACCGTGTACACAGGTCCTCTTCGGAACGAGTAAGTCCTCGTGTTTTTTTTGTGGGAACCGAATGTCCGAATCATCCTGGGTAATCCCCTTCCTGTAACACAAGAGTCTGCATGGAGGCTGACATACAGCTGCCATCGTTGCACTTTAAAAAGACTAAAAGTAGGAAGTGCATTCACATTTTAAACTTCTCTAATGTGCAAAGAGACATGCTGAGTGTGTAAGTGAGTGTTGGCGACAAAGAAACAAAAACATGCTGATTTCTCTCTTTTCAGTCGTCCTCTGAGATTTTTACTCACATCTGCAACTTCCCCTTGTCAGATCAGATGCATATGTGGCACTATTTTAGTAAAAGATAAAATTGGTTATAATGACTCCACTTTAAAAGTTAACCTTAAGGCACGCAGACCCGCTTACAGATGAGGCTTGAGACAATCTCACAATTCCATAAGTTTATTTATTGCACCCTTGTTTTAATTCCAAAAAATACTAGCTTAAAACCACTCACACATTCAAAGTCAGTTCTGGCTCACCTCAGGGAGGAGTGTAATTCAGGGTAGTGTCCTAAAAAGAAAAGAAACACAGCAAACAAAAGAAAAATCGTGCACCAAACCAGAAGGAGAACCACCACCAACACCAGGAGCTGGCCACTGCCCTGTCACAAATACAAAAAAAACAAATTAAGAAACAGACAACATTCAATTAAATGATGTTAAATGCATATATAAAAATGGTAAGAATTCAGATGTCGCAGTCCGGTAGCAGGTAGCCAAGCAGCAGTAGACTTTGGGTGTGAATTAATGTTCCATCCAGCAGCTGTGAGGAACCCACAGAATCACTTTGAGCTGAGCGTCGCTAAGCCAGTCAGGGCAGAATGACGACCAGCAGGAGCTGATGAAGGTCTAACAGCAACAGTTAAGAAGCCGGCCAAAGAACCACACGGCATAGATAGGAAACCGGAAGTGAACAAATAGGGCCTCCAGCAGAACACCGGCAGCGTCTGTACCAGACGATGCTGTTTGTCCTTTACTGGTGTTCTGCTGGAGGCCCTATTTGTTTTCCGGTTTCCTATCTATGCCGTGTGGTTCTTTGGCCGGCTTCTTACCTGTTGCTGTGTCTGGTACAGAACAAACATTAAGAAATTAAATTTGTGTAATTGAGAGACTGATAAGACAAACATTGC